AAACTAATCAGCCTACAGTATTTTTATAGTCTTTATTTTACAGTTAAAATATATGTTTATCAAATAAAGTCTAATATTACAACTAATCAAGGATCCCTTTAAAATTATTATTATTTTGTTTACAGGCTGATTAGCCATAGCTGTCACCTTGAACTGCTTCGGCTGTGAAGTTATTTAGATGCAGATGTGCTTTCCTGGATTACTTTGAGAGTTCTATTAAAATGGGTTCCCTTGTACATGGATTATTTTGCTAACATGGCAATATGTTCACATGCAAATAGATCATCATCCGCCACTAAAGGCAGGCAATAAATATATATATATATAAAAATAAATCCAAGAACACATAAAAGATGAGGGGAAACAGAGAATGAAATTTACTTCAGAAAAAAATGTTTTTTCTACTTTAAAAAAAATCCTCTCAGACACACACTGCTGCAGACGATAGCAGAGGAATCTCAGCGCTCCTCCACAAGTGTGGGAGGCGGAGTATTTATGACAACAAATCGCTGGACAAACATTTCATGTTTTGGGAGAACAAATGAACCCTTGCTCATCTCCTTCAGCAGGCCTCGTTATTAAAACCTGAGACTCAGATCCATGCGGGTTGCTTGGGTTTCACAGTCCACTTATAACCGAAACCGGGGTTTACTCAAGGAGAGAGGGGTGTTTGGGGCGAGTGGGGGGACACATCAAGGAGAGATGACTCCCAGCTGCAGGCTCTTCGAACACGAAGGAAAACAGTCGCGCACCAACGAATGTGCGCTCAAATACTGCTCTGTCACCCTGAGGAGAGCAGAGGCTTGATGTGTTAACATTACAGGCTCCATAAATCTGACGGCAGATTTGTCATGATCTGGTTAGTTCTGTGTTGTGAAGGGAGACGACGGATAACAAAAGAGGGAAAGAAAAAAGTTTCTCAGCGTTTGACGAGTGGAAAAAGACAAACTGTTTGGAAAAACTGTAAGAAAACACACATCTAATCCCAAAGTGATGAGAGGCTAAATTAACCTTAAGCTTCAATTAAATCCCTGTGAACCTCATGAACCAAAGCACATCTTTCAAAACAGGATGGTCACGCTTGTTGTAAATCACCCAGTCAACCAACAATTACATGTCAGTCTTTTTTTTTTTTTCAGAAGATAAACACCAGTAAGTGGCCATTGGGGTCCAAAAAAAACCAAAAGCACAAGAAAAGAGAATAGACAGCGACTCGTCTGAGCATAAGACAGTGCAGACGCACATGGACAGACATTAACAACAGAAGACTTTAAGTGTGTGTGTGTGTGTGTATCACTGAAGTGAAGTTAATTACCAGACACATACATACCTGATCTGGAAAAAATTCCAACAGAAACGGGCCCAGAAGAATTATCCCCAAGCTCTCTGGATCCAGTTTATTCTTCACCAAACTGACACTAAGAKGGGCAGAGATGCAGAAACAGAGACATGAGGTCAACAGCAAAAGATTCAACAGAGCCAGAGACACGAGACAGAAACAACAAGCATATAATAAAAAAAAATGAACCGACCAGCACGGCATGAAATAATAAGCTTCTTGTGTGACGGCTGAGCCAAACTTATCAATACTTCATCTGTCAGGGCCTGTTTTGGTCAGTGTGTGCATGTTTTCATGAATACTGTGGTACAACTAAATATACTCCTTTCCAGACATTCCTACGTGTTGGATCAGTGTTTTTATTATTCTAAAATAAAAAAATTGGGCAGATTGGCCTTTTAAGGCAGAAAGGAGAGAGGAGCCTTAAACACAGAAGTCCTTTAAGAACGAGTTTAGTTATGGTCTCCTTGTTAGTCATACAAAGCACATCTATTTAAAAAGATAAGAAGAGTTTCCACAGGATATTTTTAGTAATGCAATAAAATCTTAACTGGAACTGACTTAAGATCATWTGACTGAATCAAATTTAAATGCAATAGAAATCATATTTATTAGTTTTTTAACCTTCTGTGCAACATGTAACCAAACGTCCTGCAGCTGTGAAGAGACTTTTGCTGAGACCAGTTTGTGTCAAAGTTGCTTTATGATCCGACTGATGCARCTCATATGATTCTAAATTTTGAAGAAAAAAAATGGATTAATGCTGCTTTTCTCCTCATGTGCTAAAGATGTGCTATTTCTTAAAGATGTAGGAATCCCTGTAAAAGCAGTTGTGTGGTAAGGAAAGAATAAGGAAAGACTGGGAGTCTCCTCTCAGTTTGCTCTGTTTTGTTGTGATGTACTGACCATCTGGGGGTCTGCAGACCCGATCAGTGGTCTAGACTTGGCAGGGCTCACGGCTGCAGCCTTTGGACTTATTGTCCCTCTGAGGGAAACGTGCTTCTGTTTGAAGCTGCACTTTGAAACATTTCCTCCATCTTTCGGTCTTTATTCCTGCCGTTGATGATCTCACTCTAAGCCCGGTTCTAATCTTCCCGAGCTTTTACAGTGGGCTCTTTCTGGCCTTACTTTATAGTAGCCTGGTAGTGAAACTTGAGCACAGGGTTACTGACCTGGCCTGGCCTTGACTCGTGAGGTAGAACTTTAGACGCTCCACAGGCGTGGCGTACACCAACACCAACTAGTACACTTACATACAAACATACTCGCCTTGTGCAAGTGAACACTTACTATTCAGGCTCTGAGACGAGGTCAAGAGCTTTCATTACGTCCTCCAGCAGAGACTCTGGGATGAAGCCGTTATCTAGAAAACGATGAAAAGAAGAAAGCATAATAGGTTGGATGATCCTAAAAAGGACTGAAAGCAGGAGCTGAAAATGAGGCAAAGACTAACTCAATACACACACAGTGTGGCACAAAGTAGTTAAGTGGCTAAATAGTTAGTTAATGTGGCTCTGGGCAATAAACCCATCAAACACAACACTCTAATCATCTACCTCTAAACATTATTTGGCAGAATAAATGGTTGGTTTATCTGAGATGAGTACTTTAACCCTCCTACTAGGCTGCGGGTCAAATTGACCCGTGTCAAAGTTTAAAAATGTTTTAAAAATAGCTCTAAGTATTTTTTCAGTATGAAACATTTTCTATTTGTTTTAACAAGTATAATGAACATATAAAATGAAAATGATTCATTTAACATATTTGCAACCTTCCCTACATCATACATACATCAAAATGTAAAAACATAAATAAATAAATAAAAAATTCACGTATAATCATTGTTTTTGTGTATGTAGGTTACTTTAGTGGATATAAAAAATGTAATGTGAAATTTTAAAGAAAAATTAGAGAAAAATATAAAAAACATCAACATGCAACAGCAACATTTGTTTTGTTCCACTCTCAGAGGAGTTAAGACACTTTTTCCTTCTCTCCTGCCCTTCCTTATCTTCCCTGCTTCGCTGCTCGGAGCCTTCTCTACATTTTTCATCCAAAACCAGAAATTATGGTTATTTTTATGGACTTGGTTAGCTGGTCTTTCAAGAAAATTTTTGGAACAAAGTTTTTTCTTCTTCCATGGGAGGACATGTCAAAGGTGGGACCTCTGTTCGTCTCTGTTCTGGATATAAATTTGTATTCTGATCACTGGATTCTACAGAATGGCTTGGTGGTCTCCTGGTGTTCTACAAAACAGCGTCGGTGGATTTTCATTTCCTGGCTGACTGACCAATTTGATGGGTGGCCGTATTCTATCAGCACTCGGACATTTGCCTTGAGCGAGTTGGACTTGGTCTGCAAGYGGTTCTATTGAGGGTCACGGGCCGGCTGTGGTCCCTGGACTTTGCTGGCCAGATGGAATTGATCTCGGAGAAGCTGATAGATCGGCTCAGCGGAATTTGTCCACATTATTTGTCTGATTGGATTCGCCACCTTTGAGATGCACCAGCAGATATTAAAGCAGAAGGAAAATTGTTATCGTCTCCTTGATTCTTTTGTTCCCAAAACAACTGATTACAGGATCTGGATCTYCCCGACAATGACCTTGATCTGTTGACTAAATTCTTCCTGGCTGGATATGTTGACAAGGCTCAACCCCCACACCTCCCCCTCTCCTCTCTCGCCCGTTTGATTCTGGTCTCCTGAGCAGGCTGGGGGCTCACAGAATAAACAGTACCATCAATATTCTGAACTTTGGCTGCGCTGGTTTAGGGGACTGGATTATTCGGGCCCCCCTAAACTCACTTATTCCTGTGGCTAATAAATCTGCCATATGCAGAGGTTTTTTTTTTTCATAAACACCATAGTGTGTCACAGTGTTGATATAATATAATGTTTTTGTTTTTTCCTCATCTTCCCTTGTGTGGTTTTTCTGTTTTTTTTATGTTTAAGATGGCGCCACGGTAGGCAGCCTGTTACTGCAGCTCCCCTGTCTTGAGTTCCTGTAATGTGCAAATTTCCCCATTGTGGGATCAATAAAGTTTTATCTTATCTTATCTTATGCAAATACTGATTCAAATGGTCAGTAATGAAGTCAATAATCAAACAACGTTTTGGGTGATCGTTTTGGTTTCTGACATTATTGCATGATTAAACATTCCCCGGGACAAACACAGGAAAAATATTGCTGTTCCTCAGAAACAAACATAACAGGAGGGTTAAACACTAACGTGTGTTTTTATTATTCTTTTTAATCAAAAACACTTGCATGTTTGTGTCATTAAAATATTAGCTATGCGGTATCATGTTCTGATTCATGAATACCTTCCAACTGTATTCTTAAGACACACTGACAGTAACTGAGCCTGTTTGCACACAAGCAGCTCTTTTCTTCCCCATCCAAAACCAGATGTTCTCTGAGAGCAAAYAACTGCCAGTGTGATAGCGAACAAAGRCGACACACAAACAAGAGCACAACACAGAGACATGACAAACTAATATCCTACAGCCACTGAAACAGGGGATTTCTCAGTGGGTCTTTTGAGTCACCGAGCGTGTTTGTGTGGGTGTGTGTGTATGTGTGTGTGTGGCAGACTCCACAACACAGGGAGCGCTGCTGACTCCACACATCACAAACAGATTTATGTCCTTTTTCTCAGCATTTAAGTGCAGCGCGCTTGAATATCGGAGTTGTGCACAGGCTCCTTTTATGTGTGTATACATAGGCACACCAATTGTAAACGAAACATATGCTTCTTGTGCGCACAACGTGTGGGTGAGAGCCGACCATATGGTGAGCAGAAGGTGCTGGAAGGAGATAGCAGGACTGGTACGCTGCAGCAGGAAGAAACAAACGATGAACGGGAACCCAACAGATGACAGTTATGTTTACATATTTATTGTGGAGGTTGTCGGAGCAGACAGAACTGCTCCTGGCGTGTCGCATTCATCTCGGGATAAGATTGCATCACCTACAGAACCACGTCTGCAGAACGGCACATGCTCCCATGAAGCAGAGAGTGAATAATGCTGTTTATTGTTACACAAACACACGCTTCATTGAGCCATAAAACACACATAAATATGAAGGTACATGTTGCAACTGGTGATTCACTCAGCTGAACATGTGCTGCTCTGAGAGCRGGCGCTAATATCTTCAAAGTGACTCCTGACTTTTCTGTCTCATATTTCTTAGATACCAAAGTAGATGGAAAACATTCAACAGATGTTTTCTTTTTACCAAGTGTTTTACGTTGTTGCTTTTTCCGTGTTTATGAACACTAAAACAATCTGAAATATTTAAGATTTTTTTATGTTTTGTAGGTCAAGTGAAATAGGGGCATTTGGCACGTAGCAGATCACTGATTGGTGGGATAAACTTTATTATGTGCCAGAAGGAGCTGCACTGTGCACAGCTGTATTAAATGTAGTAGCTGCTTGTTGAAAACAAATTCACAAAGAAGGAAACAYGTAGCAAATATGCTGTGTAAATGAAAACTGGACAGAAGATGATTAGATTTTTAGGGCACTGATTGTACTTTTATGTCAGTGAATTTTGTTTTCTTTCTTTAATTACATTTTTTGCGGGTGTGGGGATGGGGTATGTATTTTCCAGGCACACAGTTCAATTCTATGCTATAATCAAGTACCAAGTAGTTCATGTTGCCTTTCCTTTTGAATTGCCCACACTTGCCCATGAAATAACCTTTGAGTCAATTGTCCAATGATGTTTGGTCCCTTTAAAAGAAGGGTGGGCACATGTTAAGGAGCAGAACTCCTAAACTCTTCGTAAGAAAATTAAGTGTTCATTAACTGAAATCGAGACGAAACCACATAAATAGTGAATAGATTAAAATGTGAACAGAATAGGACCATACAACCCCAGATCTGGTTACGAACGTGCTTTATGTCTCCCGGCTGGAGTCAGCAAAAGCAGCGCTGCCTGAAACCAGAACTTCCGGTCCTTTTATATAGTAGTCTTCAGTGCCTGGTATGCCCACTACTGGCCTACGGCTGAATTGCAGACTCTCAGACAAAAAAACCTTTCCTGAATGTGTCAACGGTTATTATTATGTGTTGTCATCTTGTTTCAGGCATGTAGCTAAAGCTATTTTAATCAAGACATAACAATAGTCATACWATAGATTAAGAATCAATACTTAAAAAGGAAAACTATGAATATAGTGTGGTGCTCTAAATCAGTATCTAACTAATAAATTCCTTCAACTTCATCAATTTTGAAAGTGTATACGCTCAAGTGAAAGCTGAAAGTCTAGACTTTATGTTCATGTCTGTTATATAACTATACCTTGAATATGTTTCAGTGAACAGCTAAAAAACAAACTTTGTTGGTGCCCAAAAAGATATAAACCTAACTGTTGATCTATATTTATAGTTTCTTCACAAAAAGTAGCTTAATATGAAGCTATGTTTTGCAATGAAATCATGAACATCCACCATTTATAAGATAGTTTTTGCTAGTCTGCTTTTGCTGTGTGGCGTGGGAGCTTTGGGTGAACAGGCGGTGCTTTGTACCATTAAGTGTTTAGGCACCTTCCAAATGGCTTTCACTGGAGATTCGGGGATTTCTCAAATGTGCATGAATGAGTGAAAGCAACACTCTGTGAATGTTTTTGATGAGGGGAGACATTATGACAAGATAAACACGAAGGAACTCTTTTCTAAGATCAAGAAAGATGACCATTAACCCTCTCTGATGGACAAATACACAAAGAAATTCAAAACAGCATCACTCGTGTCCTTCTAATCACCTTTTATTCCAGTCACCTGGATGTGACGTGACAAGGGAGAGAAAATGAGGAAAAGATGGATGGAAGCAGGACGGTTGACTCAGCTGTTTGAGGAGCTGGTCTGACTAAATTAAAACAACAACAGTGAAGATAAGAGAGCGGACACTTGGTCCTCTGCCGAAGAAAATAAAAGAGTAACATAAAAAGAAGATGCAGGCAGTGGAAGATGAGAGAGAATTTATAACAAGGAAGTGGGGATGAGGAGGAAAAAAAAGGATCAGAACTAGGAGCTGTGTGAAAGTTTGGGACAAACTAAACTACACTAAATGTAGTTTGGTGCGCTACATCCATCAAAAGAAACAGGAGGCATAAACATGTGTAAAATGTACATGATTCAAACATTTGTTGGTCGTTACCTTCAGGATCAAATGACTGGAAAACCCTTCTTGCTTGTTCTGATGGAGACTCTGGACCTACGAGCGACATCTCCTATTGAGAGGCAGCAATAAAGCAAAGAAAAACAGTAAAGACAAAAAAAGGAGGAAGTTAGAAACTGCATGACAAATCACTGGTAAAAAGTGACCACAAAGAAATGAACTAAAGAGAGGATAATGGAATGGAAAGTAAACAAAGATTTGAAACAATCAAGTAAATACACTCTGGTGCTGTGAGACAAACTGCAGTGAAGCAATCAGCAAAGACCACTTAATTATTAACTGATGTTCTAATAAAACTAAACAGCCTGTTTTCATTCCAAACACACTATCAGTAAATCAAGTCTTAAATATATTGTTCAGTGATAAGCTCTGCAGTGTTTGTTGATAGAGTTTAAAGAAAACCGTGCTTAGAAGAAAGAAAATGAGGCGTGTTTATTGATCTACACGGGTGATGGCTTTAATGACAGGTCTCCAAATTATTACATGCTGATTACAAAAGCACTCAAGTTTCACTTAAGAGCTACAATCAAACTAGATCATCACTAAACAAGCAACGTGAAAAAATGGCATAAATGTAAGTTATGTAAGAATAAACAATAACGGTTTAATCAAAGTTTATAATTTTTGCCTTTTGTTATAAACAGCTTTGTCTGGAGGATGAGGTGGGATCACAACTCAAACAATCAACTAAGAGTTTAAAATTCTGAACACTAAATACTTAAAGCCCAGACAGACCCAGAGTTGATCTTACTAGACAGGAATATGTTCTCATGTTTGGTCTAATCTAGTTTTTTTTAGCATTATTCCTTTTTTGAGACTTTATTCAAAACTCGTAAGTTTAAGAGACAAATAACCACCAACTTCCTTTTAGGCAACAAATTAAAACAAAACATTTATGAGCAAAAGGCAAGGCTGCATGTCATATGATTTCATAAAAAAAAGTCTAGCATTTTTCTGAAGGAATCGACAACAAAGATAATCTGATGTGGAGGAAAGATGGAGTTTTAGAAATTTTGGTCAAATCTTGGAAAGAATATTAAGTAAATATGTGCTGGAAATGACTGAGTAACAGCCAAACTTAAGTTTAGCACAAAGTCTTTAAAGGGATCCCAGATTAGTTGTAACATTAGACTTTATTTAATAAACATATATTTTAACTGTAAAATAAAGACTGTAAAAATACTGTAGGATGTTTAGATTTTTTAATTTTTAAACTAAATTTTTTAAATATATTACACAGACGGGGCCATTTTATTTACACACAAAGCATTCTGGGTAAATGATGACGTGGATAGGTCCTCGGTGCGAGGCTGCTAGCGAGCTATATCCACCCTGAAGGTTAATCTTGGACAATATCTGATGATCGACTCTTTTAAATGAAACCAGAGAGCGTTGACAGAGAGGAGAAGGTAGAAATGACTCAGCCTGGAACTGAAAATATGGATGGAGGACAACAGAGCTGCTTCATGGAAGAACAACCTCAGCTTAGCCTGTAAGCTTTAGCGTTAGCCCTGATGCTATCACTATATGTATGTATTAGCTCAGCGCTACACATTCTCCTCTCGTCACTGAGCTCCTCCATCCACATGACAGAGCGGGGAACACAAAAATGACCCAGTCTGCAACTGAAAATATGAATGGAGGACCTCAGTTTAGCTTGTTTGTTGCGCTAGCGCTGAGCTAATACATATAAGGCAATATAGCATCAACGCTAGCGCAAAGGTTAACAGGCTAAGCTGAGGTTGTTCTTCCATGAAGCAGCTCTGTTGTCCTCCATCCATATTTTCAGTTCCAGGCTGAGTCATTTCTACCTTCTCCTCTCTGTCAACGCTCTCTGGTTTCATTTAAAAGAGTCGATCATCAGATATTGTCCAAGATTAACCTTCAGGGTGGATATAGCTCGCTAGCAGCCTCGCACCRAGGACCTATCCACGTCATCATTTACCCAGAATGCTTTGTGTGTAAATAAAATGGCTCCGTCCGTGTTAAAATATATTTTTAAAAATTTACAAAACTAATCAGCCTACAGTATTTTTATAGTCTTTATTTTACAGTTAAAATATATGTTTATCAAATAAAGTCTAATATTACAACTAATCAAGGATCCCTTTAAAATTATTATTATTTTGTTTACAGGCTGATTAGCCATAGCTGTCACCTTGAACTGCTTCGGCTGTGAAGTTATTTAGATGCAGATGTGCTTTCCTGGATTACTTTGAGAGTTCTATTAAAATGGGTTCCCTTGTACATGGATTATTTTGCTAACATGGCAATATGTTCACATGCAAATAGATCATCATCCGCCACTAAAGGCAGGCAATAAATATATATATATATAAAAATAAATCCAAGAACACATAAAAGATGAGGGGAAACAGAGAATGAAATTTACTTCAGAAAAAAATGTTTTTTCTACTTTAAAAAAAATCCTCTCAGACACACACTGCTGCAGACGATAGCAGAGGAATCTCAGCGCTCCTCCACAAGTGTGGGAGGCGGAGTATTTATGACAACAAATCGCTGGACAAACATTTCATGTTTTGGGAGAACAAATGAACCCTTGCTCATCTCCTTCAGCAGGCCTCGTTATTAAAACCTGAGACTCAGATCCATGCGGGTTGCTTGGGTTTCACAGTCCACTTATAACCGAAACCGGGGTTTACTCAAGGAGAGAGGGGTGTTTGGGGCGAGTGGGGGGACACATCAAGGAGAGATGACTCCCAGCTGCAGGCTCTTCGAACACGAAGGAAAACAGTCGCGCACCAACGAATGTGCGCTCAAATACTGCTCTGTCACCCTGAGGAGAGCAGAGGCTTGATGTGTTAACATTACAGGCTCCATAAATCTGACGGCAGATTTGTCATGATCTGGTTAGTTCTGTGTTGTGAAGGGAGACGACGGATAACAAAAGAGGGAAAGAAAAAAGTTTCTCAGCGTTTGACGAGTGGAAAAAGACAAACTGTTTGGAAAAACTGTAAGAAAACACACATCTAATCCCAAAGTGATGAGAGGCTAAATTAACCTTAAGCTTCAATTAAATCCCTGTGAACCTCATGAACCAAAGCACATCTTTCAAAACAGGATGGTCACGCTTGTTGTAAATCACCCAGTCAACCAACAATTACATGTCAGTCTTTTTTTTTTTTTCAGAAGATAAACACCAGTAAGTGGCCATTGGGGTCCAAAAAAAACCAAAAGCACAAGAAAAGAGAATAGACAGCGACTCGTCTGAGCATAAGACAGTGCAGACGCACATGGACAGACATTAAAAACAGAAGACTTTAAGTGTGTGTGTGTGTGTGTGTGTGTGTGTGTGTAATGTCATGTCTGCTTGCTCGTCTTTGATCTGTGTTTTATTAGAGGCCTCAGGAAGATGCTGCTGAGTTGGAAAACAAGTCATGGAGCTAACAGGCGCTGCAGGGAGGTTCGTACGTCTGTGTTTGTATGCCTCAGCACTTCTTTCCTCTCCACTGTGAAGGTATTTGTTATACTCAGAATCTGTGCGATAAATACATTACATCCCCTGATGATAAATGTTTGCTTATATTGGAGCACTCAATTCTATTCTCTTGTGTGCCAATGAAAACACACAATACAATTATACACACACAGCTCTTTTTATGTGTGGCTAATGAAATCAAGGAGCACATTCCAATCCCCGAGGTTTGACCTTTTTCTGCACAAACCCTTGACCTGTACGACAGAGCAACAACAAGATACCCTAAAGGTTTAAAGCAAGAATAACACACATACACACCGTCCCACTGACTTAAACACACAATATAACGAAGAGCATTTGTTCTGAGCAAAACCAGTCATCCTGTTTTGAAAATTTAACCTCTTCATAAACAGTAAATTTCTTTTTTGTGGAAAAGCAAGCAGAAATATTTTGTCTAATGATGGCTCCAGACCTATTTTCAGTAAAAATATATCTAATTTGCTTTACAGTTTGTGTGTAATCTTCCTGTTTTCTATAATATAATCACTTCCTGCCTGATAATCTGAGATGAAAAGCACAAAAGCTTGTCTGGTAGTCGCTCTCTATCTCGCTCTGTTTATTCACCCTTTCCTGGACTAAGTAGGTACTCCACTTTGGTAGTGCTTCCTCCCCTCCCACTCTTAATTTTTTTGTTCATTCTTCCTTACGCCTTTCATCCTTTATCTCCACATCGAGGTACCTACTTCAGGTAAGACAGGTGGGCATAGTGCTTTACTAGAATTACTTTCTTTCCCTCCCGTCCACCTAAAGAGCTATTGTGTGTGTTGAAAGGCTCAGAGTGGTCACAGAGAATGTTTAGAGAGCTCAGTTTCAAGACAACAAAGCAGAGGTCTTGGACGGTGCCTCTTGTCTTGTTCACAGCAGGTACAGATAAACTCACTACACGACATGACAGAATGGGGAAAGTGTCGTCTACACGAAGGCTTCTCATGTAGACTGCATGTACTTTTAAATGGTTCATCTCAGGCAGCTCAATTCCCAAGAGATAATAACGACAAAGAGTGGAAACCTTGGTATTTGCAACACAACGAGAGTGCAGCTTCTATTGCAGGTTTGTATATAAGCACATGAGCTCCGGTGTGACAGGCCGGACAATGCAGTGATTTATGAGGCCGTCTTGGATGACCAAAAGCGCGTCTTACTAAAAAGAGATGAGACACCAGAGAGTAGTTGTATAGCACAATGATGGGTCTTGTAACACTGCTAAACACCCAAGGGGAAACGTAAAATAATGCAGCACGTGCACGCTGACGTCGACAGCCTTTCATCCTTCTACAATGACCTTTGGTCTGACCTGTCACAGATTATTAATGACTGYTAATGTACACCGCTTTGTTAAATTGTGTTTACATGCAGCCCACACCCACTGATCAAATGTAAAACAGTAAGTAATCTTGCTTAGAAGACAAAAAAATCCTTAGAAGTTCCTGTACATTCTCTTTTAAAGCATTTACAATTTTCCTCAGCTTGTTCCTTATCTTTCAAGAAACTGAATCTAAAGSGGACATATTGTGCAAAATTYCCTTTTTTAGCTGTTAAATGCAATTTGTTAT